TGACTCTCCAATAAATGCACTTAGTCTTTCATCAAGTATAATTAGCTGCGTATTGTGCTGTGTTTTTACTAGATTAGTAGTCTTGCTTTTAAAATGTGCCCTTTCTAGCATTTGTAGAGAAATGGATGTACCTTGAGACCATAGTATTAAGGGCAATAAATCAGACACACAAACTTTAATACCACACGGAACAAAATAAAAGATAGATAATAGGAAGTAGGAAGATATTTCCAAGTGGGAAGAGGAACAAGAGGTTGCAGGAGGTGGTGAAGGGAGAGAAAGAAAGGAGACGGGGAAGATAATGGAAGGGAAAAGAATGGAAACAGAGTTTGCAGTTGGGAAGGGGACAGAGTTGGAAGGAGGAGGGAGGGAAGAGGATGAAAAAATGGAGTTGTGTAATGATAGATGTAACTGTTATGTACTGCAGACATTTCCTAATAAAGAAAAAAGCATGCTCATTCTGGGTCTCAGTTGTGTATTTGGGATATTTGATGAAATTTCTCTATTTTTTTAGTTCAAGTCTTCCAGCATTGTCTTTTAAAATATTCATTTAGTTCAAAAATCTGCTGCAGGTTTCTCAGCTACACTTTGCTGAATCTTCTACATTTATACGCTGTGCATGTGCAGCAAAATGTTGAGTGTACTTTAGGGAACCCCTGTTTAAATCTGGAGCTCCATCTCTGTGAGGCTTTCCACTGTGTATTATCCTGCCTTGCAGATTCCAGATAATCTTGCAGGTGTCCTTAGTTCAGTCAAGAGTAAGACTCTTGGGCTCCTCTGCTTTGGGCTATAAACTAGAAAGTACCTTCAGGCTTTCCCTTTTTGGGGACTCTCCTGTGCTGTTTATCCAGTGTCCAAACATATTTTGCCCATATTTATAGTTATCTACATTGTAAGAAATAGCTTGATACAGTCACTCATAGTCAGAAGCCATTCTTTGTGTAGTTGCCACTGTGTTTTGCATTTTTTGTTTTGTTTTGGTGGTGATACTGTGGATTGAACATAGGGCCTTAAGCATGGTAGAGTAAACGTTTTTGAAGTGACTATGTCAAAGAACATACTTAGTATTTGAGTGTATGGACATTGGTGAGATTGTGATATCACACTGATTTTTGAGTTATCAGTAATTATTTTGAATTATCAGTAAATTGCATAAACTGGTATTCCACTCATACTTTTTTAAAAAGTATACTAAAAGTCAAATTTCTGTAGTTAACTTTAATTTTGAAGCAATACTTATGTAATAGAAATAATTAGCATTTAACATATGTTGAGCTGAAGCAGTCTAAACTTAATAGTTTTGAATTTAGTTTAGCAAGTGTCTCAACAGTAAGGACAGGTCATTTGGAAACAGTTGTTTTTTTAATGATGTCACAAGTAGTTGGGTGATTGTGTTCATTTTACTGTAGGTAATAAGGAAATAAGGTATCTGACTCTAGTGACAGTTAAAATTGTTTTGCTTTGTCATTACCTAGCTATGTGACTTGGAATAAGTTACTCACTTGTGATTTAATGGATGTCAGTGTTCAAATACGGAGGAAGGAGAAGTGTGGGTATGGTTAGGAAGACTCGTTTGGCTAGCACAAATACAAAGTTATTGAAATAAACTTAGACAGTTAATTTGGGGGCAATATTATATAGGATCTTGTTTATCTGAGGAAAGGTTTTAAATACAAAATGGGTAACTGAGAGATCGTAAATGTTTTTGACAAGAGAATGTGTAATTTTCTTTCTTAAGACAGGGTGTTTCTATGCAGTTCAGGCTAGCCTTGAGTTCACTTTGTAGCCTAGGCTCGTCTCGAATTTGCAATGATCCTTCTGCCTCAGCCTCCAAGTACTGGGATTACAGACAAGAGCCACTATGCCCGGCCAAAGTAGTCATTTGTTTTTCTTTCTTTCTTTTTTTTGGTACTGGAGATCAAACTCACAACCTTGCGCTTGCCAGGCGCTTAGGCCACTGAGCTAAATCTCTGATCCTGTAATTTTCTTTTGAAGAATAACAATGGAATTCAGTAGCAATGAAATAGAAAGACAGAAAAGTTCTGGCTTCCTCTTTATCTGTTATTTAGTGAAAGTTTATTTTAAAAATTTATGCCCTTATGTTTTTATGTAACCTTAATTTTTTATTGTTATATGTATATATTTGGCTGTCTTAAAAATAGGAAAAATTAGGTTGATGATTACAGTGTTTGTTTCATTCAGTTAGAATTCAGCATTATGAATAGTTCACATAAAAGGGGAACTGTTTGCTCATTCTTATACTCCTAGTAGTGTACATCTGTATACATATATGTAACGTCTTGGGAGTTCATTATTGTGCTTTTTACTTAATATATTATCCCTGGTTATAACATCATTCATTCACTTGTGAAAGGATATTTGTAGAAAAACAAAGACGAATCTAAAATCAGTATTTTCAAAACAAAAAATAAATTTTATGAAGTAAATTGTAGATATTTTAGCCTTTAAATTTGACAGTGTTGTTGATCAGATTTTTTTTTTAACGTTCTGAATTTTAGTCATTTAACTTCTAAACTTATATAAAGTCCAGGAAAGGAAATACTACAGAGTGCTAAAGAAAAAAAATATGGATTTGTAAACTCTGAATTCAGATCTTAGATCCATTATTTTCAGTTTGTAATTTGAGCAGGTGCTTAGACATAGTACCTATGGGGTTTAGATAAGTTGGATGAGTGTAGTACCTGGCCTCCTTTAATGTTTCAGATAGGCATATCTGTTTGACAGAAATCATGAAGTCTTGGGAGTTAGGTTGCTTTGAACCTTGGTTCTCTTGCTTTCCACTCTGATGTAGGCAAGTTAGTTTCCTTTCCTCCCCTATCTCTTACAGCTTTTGAGGTAGGTACTAATGTTACCCTTACTTTACAAAGGAGGAAATGAGGCCCAGAAAGGTTACTTAGTAACTTTTTCAGGGTTACCTGTTGTTACATGTGGTAGATCCGGATTTGAGCCCAACTAGTTTGTTGATGATTCATGATTGCTGTATTAGGAGAGTGCTAGTCTTGTTCTTGAAGACTCAAATGGTAGTGATGTCTTCTGGACTTCTTTCCAAGAAGTACATGTAGTACTTTTGATTAAATTTGGATTGAATGCCACTTTACACAATGAATATTTTCTTTTTTGTTAGAAATTCAATGTATATTTGAAATATCAACTTGAAAACATTTTACTTTGTCAAGTGCCAGGAATATAGTTTTTCTGTAGGGGGATTCTGGTATTTGATAAGTGAGGATGTATTTTAAGAAAGAAACACTTTACATTTTTGGCATAGTTCCAGGTATAGGATGTTTCCCTCTGTTTTTAACAGTAATACATGTTCTAGCCCAAGTTCCAGGTGGACTGGCCTCTGAATTAGTATCTAACTGTATTGTCTAGATGAGAGCAGCACTCTTTTGTTAACAAGCTTTTATTTACGGTTTTGTCTAAATTACTTGGTTTTACTTTTTGACTCCTAAATTCAGTATGTGCAAGCTTCTGATTGTTTTCACTGAATGGAATTGATCCTTATTTTACAAATGAAGTTGTTTAATTTAACTAAGACCATGTAGTAGATCATCTTTAAAAACTATGTGAAATCTTCTAAGGCATTACTGTCTCATCCTACCTGTTATGTTAGGGTAGGAGACACTTTTAAATACCTTCAGTTTTTCCCTCACTACATTGTTCCATATAGATTTATACGTACTTTATTACTCATTGGGAAGTTAGGGCTCCTGTTCATGAGGGATGGGTGCATTTATTATACACTTGAAAGACAGGTTCATACTCATGATACTCTGTATCTGTTTTGGTGAGCCTTTCTAGCATGTCTTCATTGGGTCCTTAGCTATAGAAATACCTTCCTATCATTCCTCAAACTGTTCAAATTGTCTTAGTCTAAAGACTTTTTTTTTCTGGTTAAAGCACAGACTTTTAGCTCAGAATCTTTTAGCTACACATACAAAATGATACTGTACAAAGTTAGTATATCAATATGTAGCATATTGTCTGCTCAGCTGCCATGACTGTATCAGACCAGGTGCCTTTAGTAATAGAAGTTTCTCAAATCAAGGTGTTGGCTTGGTAGGTTTTATTCTTGGATCTCTTATGATTTATTGGTGATATCAATTTTCCTATGTGCTCTCATGCTGTCATATGGTTGAGAGAGAAGAAAGAGCAAACCTTGTGGTGTCTCTCTCTGTAAGACCATTAATTCCATTGGACTCGTTTTATTGATTCATATGACCCTGGTCACCTCCCTAAAAACTCCATCTTCAAATACTGTCGCATAGGGATAGGATTGCAACATACGAGTGGGGGCAGGGCACACATACATTCCGTTTTAATATGTTTCTACTAACAATGCTGCTGCATGCCTGGGAGGCTGAGGCAGGAGGATCAAAAGTTAAAGTCCCACTCGGGCAATGTAAGAAGACTTTTTCTCAAAAATAGACGGGATGGGTATGTAGCTCAGTGTTAAGAGTAGTTGCTTCAAGGCCCTGGATGTATCCCCAGTATCAAAAAAATAAAAATGAAAGAATAGACAACCTGGAAATGTAAGGGAAAACTCATAGTTCTCTGAAATTGTTCCTCTAAATTGAATATATACCAATAAATGATTGAACAAAAGTAATTTTATTCTAATTTATCTTTTAAATTTTTAGCTGACTATGGTAAGATAATTAGTGAAAACTGACTAAAAGTCCTGGATACAAACTATTAAATGTGAGCACTGCTTCGACTCATAAAATTTGTTTAACATTAACTGCTATATTGTCTCTTGAAAAATGACAGGTTCTATAAATAGCCTTTTATAATATAAGATGATGATTTGTCTGGATTAATGGTGCTGTTTCTCACTTCCTTTCTGTCTTGGCCTTTTCTCTGTTGATGAGGTTTTTGTTAACTCCTTAGAAGCTGAACCCTTGCTTGTTCCTCTTATCCTTAGTCTCCTGCCAGCCTGTCTTTATTCCTGCTGAGCTTATCTTCTATTTGTTTTTCAGATGAGACCCTTTTTGCTCTTCCTGCTGCATCTGAGCCTGTGATACACTCCTCTGCAGGCAAGTTCTTTCTGCCAGCCTTTTATCCTCTGTATTCTAACTTTAACTCTTTAATTGTGTTAATGTCTTACAGTAGTAGTTTGGGTTTACTGTAAAGTAGCATTGTTCCAAGAACGTTTATCTAGTGAAAAAGTTGAAATTTGCATTTTGTATGTTGTGTACAAGGGAAAAGTGGGCAGAAGCTCTTTAGTAATTGAGACTGTAGACCCTTCTTGGCTTATAGTTGCATATTGACCGTTGCTTTCCTTCAAATAGTTTACTTGCATACAGCCAAAGGCTTTATTCGTTCTATACTGTCAATCAAACTCTTCTCAAATCTTCTTTCTCTCAAACTAGTTAAAAACCTTTTTTCATCTGAAATTTTTCCAAATTTGAGTTTGTCTTTGCATAGCATATTATTGCCTCTGAAGCTATACTCATGCTTTTTAATTTATTTTTTAACTGGCAAATAATTGTATAGTCTGTAGTGTGCAGTGTGATGTTTCAGTACGCATATACAATTAAATGCACAAATCAGACTGTTAAGTATATCTGTCACTGCACACATTATTATTTCTCTGTTGTGAAAATATTTAAAATTCTCTGCTATTTTGAAATATAAAATACATTAGTATTAATTGCAATCAAAATGCTATGCATCAGCCATGCATATCTTTTATTGACAGTTTATTATTTTCAGAAAAATATTCAAATCTACTTGTATTTATTAAATGCTATTAACATTTCATTTTAGTGAAGAATTAAGGCTTTACTAACACTATTTTATGAGTCTTTCATAAAACTGCATTAACTCTAAGAACACTGGCATTCTCTAACTTTCCTTTCTGTCCATGGCCACAGAAAAAATTATGGACTTGAAGGAGCAGCCAGGTAACACTGTTTCGGCTGGTCAAGAGGATTTCCCATCTGTCCTGCTTGAAACTGCTGCTTCTCTTCCCTCTCTGTCTCCTCTCTCAACTGCTTCTTTTAAAGAACATGAATACCTTGGTAATTTATCAGCGATATCTCCCGTGGAAGGAGCACTTCAAGAAACTTCAAATGACCCTTCTAAAGAGTTCTCAGAGAAGGCAAAAAATCCATTTGTAGACAGAGGTTTAACAGCGTATTCTGAACTAGAATACTCGGAAATGGGATCATCCTTCAGTGGCTCTTCAAAAGCAGAATCTGCCATGTTAGCAGAAAATCCTGGGGAAGTAAGAGTTACGAAGAGTGAAAAGGACGAGTTAGTTAGCGATGCCATTCCTCGTAATCAAGAGGAATCAGCTGTGGCCTTTACTAGACTGGTTCAAGAGGATGACAAAGGAATATCACCAGAAAAAACAAAGGACAATTATAATGAAATGGGACTTGCAATAGCAGCACCCATGAGGGAGGAATATGCAGACTTCAAACCATTTGAGCAAGTATGGAAAGTGAAAGATACTTGTAAGGGAGACAGGGATGTGTTGGCTGCTGGAGGTGATCTAGAAAGCAAGCTGGAAAGTAAAGTGGGTAAGAAAGATTTTGCAGATAGCGCTGAGCAAACAAATCATGAAAAAGGCAGTGAAAGCAGTAACGATGATGCTTCTTTTCCCAGTACACCAGAAGCTGCGAAGGACAGTTCAAGAGCGTATATCACATGTGCTCCCTTTAACCCACCAGCAACTGAGGGCACTGCAGCAAACATCTTTCCTGTGTTGGAAGATCATACTTCAGAAAATAAGACGGATGAGAAAAAAATAGAAGAAAAAAAGGCTCAAATTATAACAGAGAAGACTAGTACCAAAACATCAAACCCTTTCCTTGTGGCAGCACAAGATTCCGAGACAGATTATGTTACAACAGACAGTGTATCAAAGGTGACTGAGGAAGTGGCGGCAACCATGCCGGAAGGCTTAACTCCGGATTTAGTCCAAGAAGCATGTGAAAGTGAATTTAATGAAGCCACAGGTACAAAAATTGCTTATGAAACAAAAATGGATCTAGTGCAAACATCGGAAGCTATGCAGGAGTCCCTCTACTCTGTATCACAGCTTTGCCCATCGTTTGAAAAGTCTGAAGCGACTCCTTCACCAGTCTTACCTGACATTGTCATGGAAGCACCGTCAAGTTCTCTAGTTCCTAACGCTGGTGTTTCTGTGGCACAGCCTGGTTCACCACCCTTAGAAGCTCCTCCAATTAACTATGAGAACATAAAACATGAACCTGAAAATCCCCCACCCTATGAAGAGGCTATGAATGTATCACTAAAAAAAGCATCAGGAATAAAGGAAGAAATTAAAGAGCCTGAAAGTATTAGTGCAACTGTTCAGGAAACAGAAGCTCCTTATATATCTATTGCATGTGATTTAATTAAAGAAACAAAGCTCTCTACTGACCTGAGTCCAGATTTCTCCAACAATTCAGAAATAGCAAAAGTTGAAAAGCCAGTCTCTGATCATTCTGAGCTAGTTGAGGATTCCTCACCTGATTCTGAACCTGTTGACTTATTTAGTGATGATTCAATACCTGAAGTTCCACAAAAACAAGAAGAAGCTGTGATGCTCATGAAAGAAAATCTTGCAGAAACTTCATCTCAGTCAGTAATAGAACTAGAAAATGTGGGAAAACTCAGTGCATTACCACCTGAAGGGGGAAAACCATATTTGGAATCTTTTCAACCTAATTTAGATACTACAAAAAATACTCTGTCGCCTGATGAAGTTTCATCTTTGACCAGAAAGGAGAAAATACCTTTGCAGATGGAGGAGCTTGACACTGCAGTGTACTCAAATGATGACTTATTTATTTCTAAGGAAGCAAGTGTAAGAGAAAATGAAACATTTTCAGATTCATCTCCAATTGAGATTATAGATGAATTTCCCACACTGGTCACTTCCAAAACTGATTCTTCTAAATTAGCTAGTGAATACAGTGATCTAGAAATACCCCACAAAAGTGAAAATGCTAGTGCCCAGGACAGAGCTGAGTCATTGCCATGCTCAGAAATGCCCCATGACCATTCTTTCAAGAACATACACCCTACAGATGAAGATAAAATCCTTGTCTCAGATGAGTTCTCCAGAGATAGGCCTGACACATCAGAGGTGCCCTTACTGCCTCCAGATATTCCTGCTTTGGCAACTCATACAGAGATAGGTAGCATAGTCAAACCTAAAGTTCTTGTGAAAGACACTGAGAAAAAACTTCCTTCTGATACAGAAAAAGAGGACAGATCACCATCTGCTCTATTTTCAGCAGAGCTGAGTAAAACATCAGGTAATCTATCCACTATTTCATGCTTTCGTACCCCCTTTTAACGTAACCATGGAATTACCATCACATTTTGTGTCAATGTTTGTAGCATCTAATATATTACATTGATTAGAATTCTGTCCACTATATAAGTTACATGTTTTAGTACTTTTTCTGCTTTTCTTGGACTTATCACTCACATTTGCCCTTAACTTTTCCACATAGTTGTTAGTAATTTTAATATTGTACCATGGAACTGCAAAAAACTTTTGAGTATCTCTTCTCTTCAGTGTATTGTCATAGCAGGAAGATAAGAGATATTAAAATGTTTTCAGATTTGTTTTTATCTTAGAACAGTTCTGAAGTATGCTTTTGATATTTTAATATAGAACGTTATTTTTTTCAGTGAGAAGTATAAAGTTAGGCATACTCTTGTCCTTATTCAGAAAAATTGTAATATGCCATTCTTCTGAAAAGTTTTAATACTCATTTTTTCTTTTGACATTACATAGGCCACATACTTGATTTTCAAAAAGTGATTTGCACACATTACTTAGCATTCTAATTTGACTTTTTTCTATTACAATGTAGTTTTATATACTGAATCCTTATTTATTGGAAATAGCACTAGCTATCATCAGACCATTTTAGAAATAGTTGCCATATTACAGGAAAGAGGAGACACTGATCGTTTGGGTAATAAAAGTGAGCATGGAAACTTGGTATTTGAAGGATATGAACATGAAGGGTAAAAGGAAAAATCAAAGATGCTTCCAGGATAATTTGTGGCATGTATATGCATGGATGGCAGTATGAGAAACTGAGAAAGGAAACATGAGAAAATAAAATGTGTTTAAAAGGAGAAAGTAAATTCAGTTTTGAATATGTTACTATTGGGCTTTGAGAAATTATGGAGTATACACACATATACACATTATCAAGCTCTTGAGAGAGATCTTGACTGTATATGTATATTTGCTATTGACTTATAACTAGAAATTAAAGACATAGGAACTGAGGAGAAGCAAGAGAAAGGAAAGCTTAAGAGTAAAATATGTGTTAAACATTAAATACTAGAGAGACAAGTTAAGATTTGAAGTTTGTCAGAAAAAAAAGAAGTATTAGTACCAAAATAGCAAGTGGTATACATGGGCAGAGTTAAGATCAAAGACTAAATGGGACTGGAGCAAAATGGACACTAAATGTTGACAACTCTTAAAGTTTGAGAACACAGATCGAGTTAGCAAGCAGGAAAGAGAGTAAGTATACAATTAATGAAGGGTTTTTATTTGTTTTGAGAGGCGCTGTAGAGAGTTCCAAGGGGATGAGACGTGCTCCAGATTTCGGGTGGAGGGGCCTTAGGTAAGGAGGAAGCTGGTTTATAGTAAATGGAAAGTGTAGATACTGATAATACTAGGGTTTTGTGGCTATAAGTTGAGTATTACTGGATAGTTAATGTTTGCCCTTTAAAGGAGTTTGTTAGGTTCCTTGCTAAAAATGAACTGGAACATACTTAGGTAGAATAGATACGTAAAATGTTTTCTGACTGGGGAAGCAGAGGCATTGTATTAAGAGCTCGTCAAGAATGTGAGGCGGTCTTGTTTGCTAGGTTGACTTTGCGCTAGAAAGCCTGGATATGGGTTCATACACAGTCAGTTGCTATATTAAGTTTGTCCTGGTTAGGTGGCCTAGTGGAAGGACGGTCTAGAGAGTTGAGAATAACAGCTGAAGAATAGTTGAAGTGATAGACTGTGGCATTTAAGTTAAAGGACAGTAGAAAATTCATGAATTTAAGGTCCAAATGAGGTCTGTGAAGTCATTTTGTTAGGGTGTTAGGAATAAAATGTGACCGCCAGAATGTTGTGGTCAGAATGGGATCATGGGTATGAGGAGGTGGATGGATGGATGGATATCCAGCTGAGGATTTTAGAGCAGTACAGTTCAGGTTGCTGAACTCACAAATGGCCAGGGTTTGGCCCTAAGAGAAAGCCTGCTGTGGGCTTGAGTGAAGGTTGCTAAAGGTGAGGTCACGTACACTGTGAGGCCAGGAGACTGAATAGCATTTCACAGGACACTGCTGTGTCCCAGGACGAGGACAGGATTTCAGATGGGAAGATGATTCGGAAATAGAAACAGGAGCTTGGTAAGTGCCCTTATAGCAACTGACAGAACAGTAGACAAGACCAAAAAGGAAGAATAGAGTGATGCAGCTGAACAGTGAAGGGCTCTGGGTAACAGTCTAGAGTGGCAGGAGCACGCGCCCAGCGCCTCCTGTTAGACAGCCTGTAGGAAAAGCCGTCTGCAAGAAAGCCAGGTTTTAGTGAAGATGGCAGGAATGGCCAGTAAACACCACCAAAGCGGGTTCACAACAGAGTGAGGGTTTCAGACGCACAGTCCAGTGCTTTGAGAGGGAGAAGTGAAAGAATGTGTCTTAGAAGCTCGTGCAGCAAGCAGAGCTGTGCGCAGTTTTAAAATGCCTGAAATCTCTTCCTGCCCCAACATTGCCTCTCAGAACTGAAAACCAGCAGCTCTCTAGGAGATAGGAACTCTTAGGAATTTGGGGAGTCAGCTGTTCTTCAGTTACCTACTAAAGGTCGGGACCTAGAGCCAACAGGTCAGCGTTGTGGGAAGACCAGGTGCCTTGAAGGGTTAAGCGTAGGATGGCTGAAGAAAATGGAAGCAGTGCTGGGACGGTCGGATTTTAGGAAATGCTTGTGAGTTTTAGATCAGCCTTTTCTCTTTTCAACCTTTCATTTTTTCTTTGATTTTAAAAAACACTTTTAAGTGACATGTAGTCATACATACTTAAGATACAGTGAGAATTCAGTAAATATACAATATTTCAATCTCAGAACCAGGATAGTTAGCATTTCAGTCTTCTTAAACATTATCTTTTCATAGTTCAATCTTTGGGTATTAGCTGTTACAGACCCTCAGAAAGGAGTAGAAGATAATTTGGATGCACAAAAAATGTGTGTTCTACAAGTCATGGAACAAAAATTCAGTGTTGGCATAATAAAGACAGTGGGGGACATGAGCTCTACTCTTGGCTGCACCACTGACAATCACGTGGTCGTGCTAGACGTCAGTTTCTTTTCTATAAAAGAAGTGGGGTTAGATTAGGCTTTGCAACTTTAATTTGTTAATGGGCATGTGTTAAAAGCAGGTGAGTAGTTACATTAACATACTTATGTCAAGCACTGTAGATTTTTTTTTTTTTTTTTTTTTTTGGCAGAGAAAACAAAAAAGACAAAATCTTGTCCACATGTAACTTTTTACTTACTGATGGAAGCAGATTTGTAAGGACAAAGCTAAACATCGCGATTTATGTAATAACGGGTACAAGGCATTTTCTTAGCTTTCTAAAAGTGTACTGAAGTAAGATATACTGAAATAAGAGCAAGAGGAGACCCTAATGTGCCTAGGGTGTTTTTGCTTAGTATGTGCATACCTTTAAACGTTAAAAACCCATAGGTATTAGGTTGTAAAATATTAATCTCCTTGGGTTATTTATTATCTTAAACTGTTTCAATTGTTTTTTAAAATGACATTGTATAGGCAGAATTCAGTTTTAATTTGGGGAAGGCTGATTTCTTTTTTTTTTTTTTTTTTGGTAGCAGGGGATCACACTCGAGACCGCGTGCTTGCCAGGCAGACGCTTATGCCGCTGAGCTAAATCCCTGGCCCCAGGGAAAGCTCATTTTTGAAAGGGAGATGATCAGGGTATTAGGATACATACTTTGTTGTTTTATTAATTTTTTGAAGTAAAACTGGACAAGAAAAAGTGAAAATTGGTCTTCCTCATACCCTCCTGATAAAGGAATTTAAAACAAGCTGTGTTCTTAAAATATACTGATTTTTCTCTAGTCTGTAATTATCACTATCCGTTTTTTGCTCTGCCATTATACCTCATCATTTAGAGAAGTTTTTAATTATCCAGGGCCAGCATTTTATGTTCTTTTTAATGCTTTAAAAGTCTTGACTAAAGAGTCACGGTTTTGTTTTTCCATTTTTGTTTATATTATTGGCACTTTAGGTTTCCCACTCACTTTAAGATAACAGGTATAAGGTAAACTAGTCCTAATTCTTACATAAATGTGTTCTGTTATACGGTGTATAGGCCAAAGTGGTGGAACTTGTGAAAAGAGGCATTAACTGACGGGCGGCACTGTTACATGACAATTGAAATATTTTTGTTGGATGATGCATGGAATCTGTTTGTCATAGGGATGACAGTTTTAGGGATGTGAGTGTATAATAGCCGTGAGTACAAGACCACTGACAGTAATTGTTACAGATAACTTCATGGAGGTTGATTTGTGTAACGTATAGATAGTGACCATCAGTAAACAAACGTTAATAATTTATACGTAGATGACAAAAGTTTTCCAGATTCTATTTTAATGAATATTATGATCAGTATCTGCACAGACTCACTTGTAGTTAGGCACATAGATGCATTTGCAGACTGGGCATGTGTGAATAATTGCAAAGGAATATTTAGGTTTATTTAGAACTAAACCGAAAAACCAATCTATGCTAGAGAAGACTTTCTTTTATGTTAGTTGCTAATTATCCTTGACTGACATTAATCAGGATAAAAACTGATGGTATCATTTGAGATCGTTTTTCTTTTTTTTAAAGCTAATTGCTTTTTTAAGTTCAATTTTTGTTTGCAAATAACTTCCATTTTTAGAAAAAGTTGGGAAACTAAAAATACAAAAATCACCTTTTGCCCTTCATCTGAATTCGCCCATAACATTTTACGCTCTGTGCTTTACCATGTATTATTTTTCTGAACCATTTGAAGTGAGTTATGCCTTTGGCATTTTATCCCTAAATAGTTCAAATTTCGTAACAGTACAGCTATTCACTTAGTACATTCACATTGATAGTTTTCTGATCACTATCCCTATGTATGTCACCTTTCCTATCACTGGGCGAAAGACCTAATACCCAAAACTTTAAGGAGGGAAGGTTAGTTTGGTTCACATTTTGAGGAGGTTGACTGGCTTCAAGGCAGA